GGGGGGGGGGGGGGGGGGGGGGGGGGGGGTCACAGTAACTTCAGCGGAGGCGTGTGTGGAATGAGCTCACGGGCCCAACATTGGTAGAGAAAGCCGCCGCGGGCGGACTCATCCCACGCCCTCTGACAACTCCCGCCTGATTGCATATCAACTGTACGTTATTTACACATCTGGTGCCTTGGAATTATTCTCAATCAGTCGTATATAAGATTGAAGCTTGCGATTCGGAACCCAAACCTCAGCTCTCTTCTGAACATCCCATTAACGCTCTTGTGTGGCGGCGGACTTTCTCCCGCAACTGGTGGAACCGTTGGCTTCTGAAGACGACGATTCAGTCAAAACGTTAGCCCTCTAAACGTTCCATCTAACAACCTCGTAAGGCACAGAAGAATTTGAACACTCACAATCAAAATAGCGAGGTTGCAAGAAGAGAGAAGCTTTTGAATCTCTTCTGAGTGTTATGCTTACACCAGCGTTGTTGGGGTTGTCTTAGTTCTCATGCGGTGACTTAAAAGGTTCTATACAGGTGTACCCATGTTTTTGCGATGCAACAGAATCCCATGAGCATCCCTATATTAGGCGACCTCCTTGATTTCAGTGACAACTCTCTAATAAGTAGAAAGTACGCAGTAAAAACCAATATCACGGTAAAGGTTATTGACTTCCATGAGTGCTAGCGAGCGTTTTTCCTCGGTGTTTGTGTTGTCTATGTTAATTACACGGAGCGATCCAAAGAGCAGGTGAGCGTAAGCGTGCCCAAATCGCTCATTTCACGAAATTGCCATTCGGATTTTGAACGCTCCAACAGTTGCCCTCACCTAATGGAACAGCTATGTCTGGAAAACCTCTGCTAAGCGTTGCAAGACCTTCATCTCGCATGGCTGGGCGCAGCATTCATCTCTTTCAGTGCTTAAGAGGTTCTTTGCTTCCCAGAACTTAATGAAATCCCGATGCATATGACCTTCCAAACTTTGTTAATGTCCTCGGATTTTTCCCCAAAACTGCGAAAGCTGTATCTTTTTGACCGAAACTACCCGTGCACATCATGAGATCGTACATCATGAGATCATGAGAGCGTTCATACTTTGCGTCTTGAGCCATTCTGTTACGATCGCGTGACAGCAACTGGCTGCGCCCGAGCGCTAATCGTTGGACTGCTGTAACTGCTAATTCAACAACAGTAAGGATGAAGCCAATTTCGGAATTTGTAGCGACTGAGCGGCAGTGATGGGGCGTAGTCGCGCAAATGAATCGCTCGATTGACAAAGTATAAATGCGACCTGAGATGTGTCAGGAGCTCTGATGATGTCCGAGGCAGTGGCACTGTAGAAAGTGTAATAGGGAAAAATGGCAATAAAAAATAACCAGGGGAAGATAATAGAGATCTATCTGTGCTCAACAAATACTCTACATCCAATGGGTTTTGTTCCTTCTCTTTTGCTTTCCGTTGCTCTACGGTGGCAACGTTCCCGCGGTTGCTTTAATTTGCACTATAAATTCATTTTTTTATAAATGTCCGCTGGATGAAGAGTTTTTTTGCTCCCGTCCTCTCTCACTAATTCCCTCTCCCTCTTGCACATTTGTGGTTTCGTCCAGATCTGCGCCAATCTAGCTATTACTCGTTACTTTCCAGAATGTCGCCAAAGCGACCAGTATCGCTATACAGCTGTGGACACGGCTGCGCCCTGAAATCCTACAGATCTCTGAATTCTCTCAATAAAGTCAACCAGTCAGAAACGTGTCGATTAGAGGTTTGTTCAATCTTCCCTCTTATCAACTGGGGTCATCGCATCTTGCATTACCGTGGCTTGCCTGGACAGAACCATTATTTCAGCTTTAGAATGGCATAGAATAGAAACTCCATCGCTCTTCCGAAATCCAACCACCCCGCAAAAAGCACCACTAGGGCCAAAGGCTCAGTGACATGCCCACATCT